GTTTCGCCCACCCTTTGGATACTGCCGAAACACCACGAAAAGGTTGAGTACCACAACCTGAACAACACTGTTTTCAAAAAAAATAATTAAATCTGCACAAATCTATTTTGGTGAGCGTTTTTGTTCCACAAAACGTGGAGTTGGGGAAACTGTCTTCGTCAGCCAAGCTTATGATGTACTGTTATGTTTATAAAGTCAACAGTGGGCAGGGCTTGTATGCACTTGTATGCAAACTACCAATCAGCTGATTGTTTATAAAAATCATATATGGTCATTTGACCTCATTAACATGCATAACTGTCATATCTCAAGCACTGTTGTAGATAAAAACAAGTAGCCAGTACTATAATGGAGGCATTGGACAACAGATATGATAAATATATTGGATGGTTATATGTCTTCATATGACCTAATTATTATGCATAACTTTCATATCAAAAGCACTGTTGCAGATAGGGACATGTAACCAGTGTTATAGTAAAGGGAAGGAACAAGTGATATGTCTGAAATACCAGACAACCATACATGAGCATGTGATCTCAGTATTATGCATAACTGTAATATCTTAGGCACGGTTGTACATAGGAACATGCAAGCAGTATTATAATGAAGGCATTGGACAACAGATTTAATACATATACTGTTGTAGACAGGAACATGCAGCCAGTGCTATAGTGAAGAGAAGGGAAGGGACATGATCCGATTGAAATATAAGATGACCATACATATTCATGTGACCTCATTAATATGCAAACTTTTATATATCACTGACAGGCATTAATCTAATATTTTGAGAATTGAAATAGAGACCAACAACTAGCTGTATATCGCTGTCGTAGATGGTAGTTGACATTAGTTGACACATACCTTACTGTCATAGCTGGGAACCATCATCATCACTGCCTGCAGCTATATTTATTATTAGTATTATTAGCTAATATTATTATTAGTATATCAGCTGTTTTATAATATTCATAACCCTGAGATTTTGCGGGAAGTTCCCCTCGAGTAACTTCAAGAAAAAACACTCTTTGCCACCAATATTGGGGCTAATCCCAACAAAAAGGACAACTGTCAATTTGAAGTTCAAAACAAAGTATACCAGGGAATAGCTATGTTTAATCAAGTCTTAGAATGGCTTTTTGCTTAAATAGCAAAAAGTGCTGCATATCAGATGAGATTAGAATATTAATCATTAATAATATGAGGTTATTCCGAGGATACTGCAAAGTATGCACAAAGACAGTACAGCGGGAGTATTTACCATTGTGTAGCGAGTAATTTATTAGAGGACGCTCATACCTGTAATTGTTCCATATTTGAAATTTACGTTTCATAATATGGTAGAATGAAAATACTTATGGTGTTATGGTAACAGATGTATAATAATACAAGTTATTCAGTTATAACAACTTATTCAGCTTTCTTCTCAGTTGTTTTTATTCATGTTTAATATGATCTTATTATAAAGGTGGCGTTGCAGGGGAAAATGTATTTATAGGTGAAATTTCACTTTTTTAACTTTCATATAGCAGAAAACCTCCTTATTCTTGAGTGAAAATTTCAAAATTCCATTGTGAGTAGAACACCTAATAAACTAGGTTTATATTATTAAAAAAACACATGTCTTACTTTAACTGTTTATTTTACATAAATTTTGCATAATTAATGTTGATTGATTGCTGGAGCTTAACAGTAATATGCAAATAACAATTTCGGGAAGACCAATTTCGTTTCCTCTGTACTTCATTTTAACAAA